ATCTGCCTTTCTATAACCCTTTTCAAGCACTCTGTCAGGGAGCCCAAACTGAACAGCCAGTTTAGGAGGAACTTGGAACCCGCTCCAGGCCCCCTCGGCCCTCTGGGAAAAGGAAAATTATTGTTGGCAAGTCTGCCTGGCTCCAGAAGTTGATCCAGTGCCCCCCACTTGCCCATGCAGCAGCAGACAGAGCTAAGAATTTTGTTATAATTAAATAACGGAGTGCTGATTGGTTGCTGGAGGTGGTCTTGAAACTGGTGTTTAAGGCAGTGGAGAACAACGGTTACTATTCATAGAAAAAAGCAGAGTCTTAAAATCCATCTGTTTCGTTCCAAATTTAGGCCAAAAAAATGCTCACTCACTGTCTTTAAAAATACCACCTGCTTAGTTATTTTGTATAATGTGCCATTATATAAGTTTGAAGGAGGAGCAGGCAGGGAGGCAGTGGGGGCTCAGAAGGGGTGGGGGGAACAGATTAAAAAGATATAGTTAGATCCAAAAATACCCCAGCAGCATATTCAAAAGAGAACACAAAATAAGGGAGCACAGAGACGTTTTCTGAGGAGGATTAAAACCAGGGTGTTTGCTAACGCCTGGGAACCAGCTACTACAAATGGGCTTGTTTGCAAATAAGATTACAATCTTTTTTCTCTTTTTTTTAAAAAAAAAACCCAACAAAACCTTCTTCCTGCGCACACCCAACTCCATTCCTCACCATGCTACAGGACTGTGGAAACACCCCGAGCCTTTCCCAGCCTGCAGACCTTTCTGGTGAGGGGCCAGGCCAGGGTATCGCAGCCTGCCTGGCCAGAGCCCCTGCCAGCAGGTACCTCCCAAATGGGGCTGTGCTTCTCCTTGGTAAGCTGGTGCAAGCAAGTAACTGGAAGGAAGGAGACAAGGAGCTGGTAACACCATGGTGTCTAGTGTTCCAGAGCAGCTTTGCTCTGTGAGCAGCAACATCAGCGAGGTCTGGTGTCCTGCAGATGTGCCTCCTGTCTCCCCATCGTCCTTCCCCTCCCCTCGCTTCCCCGCTGCAATCTTACATAATATTACATATTGCAGCTGCAGTATTTCCAGTTTTCCCTATACCTTTAACTCTCTCCCATGTCCCTTGTTCCCTCCAACACCCCAATGCTCTCCATGTCTCCTACGTAATCTTCTTGGCCTGCCAGCTGGGCAGGAGAGTGCAGATGCTGGTCCAGAAGTAGACGTGTGATAATTGGCCATCTGGACGCTGCCAGAGAGAATGGATAACAGCTGAGCTCTCCCTGCCTTTTCTTCAGCAGCGGATCTGGAAAGCCTCTCTTCTCAGTGCCGGCAGAGATTCCCTGGAACTCAGAGGGACTTTATAATCTCCAAGAGTTTGACTGCCGCTGTCAAATCTGGTTCAAAATGCCAGAGGATTCAAGAATTACCAGAAGATGGTCAAACAGATGGACAGACAGCATGACTTCGTGATCTCTGCTGCCTTAGAGGTCCAGGCTAACACCCCCCCCCCCCCCAAATTAAATGCATTTCCAACTTCAGAAAAAGAGCAACTCCTAGAACATCGATGCAAGTCATTAGTGAATATTTTTGATTGATCCCTGAAGGAAATCAGTTCAGGGGCTGGCAGACTCCTCTCCTCAGGGAGTCCTTAAAATGGGCTGGTGACATTATTGACAATGATGGGCCATTGGGATGCATTCAGTTGTAGCTGATCTGCCTTAAAAGTCTCAAGATGTTTTCCAAGAACATCTTAAAATGAATGCTAAAGTACCTGTCTACCCTTTTTTTATAATATAGCAATTGCTACAATCTCTGAGCACATTTGCATATTCGTAGTTTTAAGGCTCCAAGAGCTTTAGCCTTCTTGTCCAACAAAGACCACTGAAGCTCAGTACTGGTCCTGTACTGAATTTAATCTTCAGCTGGAGCATCTCTCCCAAAACAGCATCCAAAATCTTTACCCAGAGTCTTAGGTGGTAAAGCATTCCTATGTGTATGCCAGACATAGCTGGGCAGCACTGTCACACACGTTCATTTTTTAAATTATTATTATTATCATTATTATTATTATTGTTTGCTTTCATGATTGTTGCAATGGCCCATGCAACTATTTTACTGTGAATTCTCTTTACATCTTTTTATTGTCTGATGAAATGAACAGGAGTCTGAAGATTGCTCTTTTTTCCTGCCTTTCCCTTCCTTTTTTTCTTTTAAGCAAAGCTTAAAACCATGTGGCACTGCTTTATTGAGTCAGCAATTGCTTAAACTTTTTAAAATTCCATACACTAAGTGAAAAATGAGATTTACAAAACTAATGGAAAATAAATGTCTCCCGAACATGCAACACATTGACTTGCCTCCTTGCCTTATCCCATGAAAACAGATGGAAGCAATAGCTACGGTGAATTACCTACTGTACGTAGGGCCCCATGCTGTCCCGTGGCAGCCCCGTACACGGACAGAGCGTGCCAATTTGTCACCGCGCTGCTCTGGAGGTTGCCCTCACTTGCGTGGATCTGGGGGTGAACAGGGTGATCAGGTCACACCCCTGTAGCCAGTTGCTCACCCTATTTTACACCTACAGTGTATGGGAAGGGCTGTCTTTCCACCATGTTTCCAGTGCACCTGGTCCAATGGGGTTCTTGGCTGTGACTCCTGGGGACAAAGGGAGTATATATAAATAATAGTAATTTTCTCCCAGGAGCCTTGACCCAGCTCAGGCCCTCTGAGCAAGGGGAATTTGGAGGCAAATCTGAAGGCATAAGCCCATCAAAAGACACAGCCAATGCACAACCTACGGGAAACCCAAGTGGTTGCTTTCCCAGGAACATGTAATATTTTTCCACAGCAGATGAGTTTCCAGCACGAGTTATGCACCACTCGCGAGCTCTGTTCAACCTATCTTTCAAACACGTGCGTTTCTCACCGCACACACAGAAGGAAAACCAATTTGTCCAGGAACAGTGTTTTTGGACTCTGCTTTCCAAAGGATTGCTAATAAAGCAACGAGCAAAGAACACACTATTTTGCTGAATATATGAATCATACCTTGATGGTGTCTCCTTTGAATCATGGCATTCAAAGATCTCCCTGGAGCACTATGTTTTACATTAGAAGAGAGCAGTTATCCCCAGCAGAGATGCAGCACATGTGTCTGGCTGATGGATGGCCATTCCCTAGCAGGAGTCAAAACGTTTAGGAGAAAGAAAAAAAAAATTCCCTAGAAACCTTAAATAGCAGGAGAGTAATTTGAGCATCATGTTCAATTTGCTGGCTACCAACAACAGCAAGATTTGGCATCTTCCACAACGACTTCGCAGCAACATCTTCTTCCCCGTCGCAGAGTCCCATCCCACCTGCCTGCCTTCACGCCTGTTGCGGGTGATGAGGGGACATATTCCACTCAAGTCAAGGGGAGTGTTGTGTTAGACCACAACAGAAACAGCATCAGGCCTTGGATCAAGGGAGATAAATGGAGCCTGGTAAAAAATTCACCGTGACTTAATCCTTCTAATAGGAAATATGAAGCAACACTCCCTTTATTAAAGTTTGAAACAAAAAAAAGGCTTCTGGCTTGTAAACTAGTCATTTAAAAAAAGTGGTAGCAATTTAAAGTACTATATATTCTGTTTAAACATTACTTAGTACTTCACCCAGTAGCTCCCAGCCCCTCTACAAAGCAAATTCCTTCTGCAGCCAACAGACAACCGCTTTGCAGCCGGTTTTGGTTTTATTGGACCTCCCAGCGAGGGACAGCACAGTCTCAGCACCAGGGCTGAGCTTCCCGAAATGGCCCCGTTCCCAGGTCTCTGCAGAAAATCACTTCACCTGTTTCCCCATATGAGGAAGAATACTTACCCTTCCTGTGGAGTCCATCAAGACCGACTGAAGAGAAGTGCAATCTGAGCAATCTACAAAGCAAATTCCTTCTGCAGCCAACAGACAACCGCTTTGCAGCCGGTTTTGGTTTTATTGGACCTCCCAGCGAGGGACAGCACAGTCTCAGCACCAGGGCTGAGCTTCCCGAAATGGCCCCGTTCCCAGGTCTCTGCAGAAAATCACTTCACCTGTTTCCCCATATGAGGAAGAATACTTACCCTTCCTGTGGAGTCCATCAAGACCGACTGAAGAGAAGTGCATTATCTGAGCAATACACTGGCACGATGGCAGGGAACAAGCCTGCTCCAAGACCTTTGCGTTTGATTGCCCTCGAGTGCCATTGTAGAAATTACTATGGCTGAGATTTTCCAAGATGACTGGGGCTATGGTGGCATCCACTTCTGAGAGATTCCTGGAAATTACAAAGCTTAAATCCCTACTTAGTTTAAAAAACCCAAACAAATGAACCATTTAATAAAAATTCTTGCATGTAAGTTCACTCTCACCCTGCAGCATCTGCAGGCATTGCTGCATCAGGTGGATGCTGGATGCTCAGCGCTGAGAGCAGGCTGTGCTGCAAGGGCTCATTGCATTAAAAAAAAAAAAATGCAAAAACGGCCTCGTATCTATCTAGGAGATAAACCCTAAGGACAGCACAAGGACTCTGTCTAATTAGGGGTACCTAAGCTCTCCTGTGTGACCTTTACAGTGCATCAGCCCTGTGTTGTGGGATCACCAGGTTGAACAAAAATGTTTTAAAATTAAAGGTATCATCAGCCCTGGTCTCCCGTCCCCCAGTCAGGATCACTTCACACAGAGGGACAACATTACTTTAGCTCACGTGCTATTTGTCTTTTGCCAAATCACGTGCCATTTGCTTTAGAAAAAAAAAAAGGATTTTCAACTATTGCAACAAAAGCTTGCTGAGCGGGGAGAGGGCTAGTGCAAAAGGAATTTAGCAGGCGGCAGCATGGGAACCCACAGGAAACAGAGGATTTCTTACAACTAGAGCTGGCTGCAAGCTGCCACCATTTTCACAAAATTTTTTTCAAGGAAGTTTTCCACTCAGGCTACAAATCTTTTTGGCCAGAGTAAAATGCAGTCAACGCATAAATGAGTTGACAAGTCATTCTCTGCACATACTAAGTTGCTTTTATTAATCCAGAACTGCATGCTACAGATACTGTACAGCATGAACATTTATTCATTACAAAAAATGGCTTCCAAACCATTAAAAATGAAAATCGGAATAAGAGCATAAAACGGAACAGTAACATCACAACTGTTAGGAAACATTCAAAGTATTCACAAAAAATGTTATAGTTAGCATCTTAATAAACCAGAGAAAAATCTGAGACAGTTTTACAATCGCTTCATGTCAACTACAATGGCACTGAATGAACAGATGAACAATTTTTCAGCTTTATACAGCGTTTTTTGCAACATCAACATGCCTAGTTTTTTTTTTTTTTAGTTTTGATACTCACCTGTATGAAGTAAGTGTACATAAAAGTGGCAGTCTGATTTTCCTTTTATGAATAATCTAATATACAGAATTTGGCCCTTAAGGGTTTATACCTCTTCATTTTAAATGCTTTCCGGACAATCTGCTACCAAACACGTCTGTTATAGGTGACATTAAAACTACATACATATCTACCTATGTAACATCACAGCAAAACATGATGAACAAAAAAATTACAGCATTAAAAAAAAAAATAAAGTTGTTGGGAGAAAGTTAAAAGTCACTGAGAATTTTGGCACATAAAAATTTTGCACACAGCCTACAGTCCTAATGTCGCAGGGGATTCAGCTGCAGTTCTGAACGGGAGACACTTGGACCTTGCTATTTTTAAAACAGCATTGCTAAAAATTCCCTTGCTAAATTTTCAAGTCTTTGTGTGTGTAATGGCTTTTAAAGCAATTTTTTTTTTTTTTTTACACTAGTGATCCTTGAAAAAAATGCATCTGCGAATGTCCATTTGGTGGCAACTGTGTTTCATATAGCAAAAAAAAAAAAAAAAAAAAAAAAAAAAATCACGAAAGGAAATCAAAAACAACAATCCCGGAAAAAATATATATATACACATTTATATATAAACTTAAAAACCTTGTACAAATGAGTTGTTATATATAAGATGCTTACACTAAGGGGAAAAAAAAAAACCTTTATACAATGTTTCAAGAAAAGAAGAAGAAAAAAACATTTAAAAAGGGACAACATACAGATACAACAAGCAATTTCTAAAGCAATAAATACTACTGGTCCAATAGCGTTGTGATACTTTTAATTGTTGAGTAGCGTTCCCTCCCCCAAAAAGAACAACACCATGGAACAAGGTATATTTTCACATTTTTTTTAACCCTTTGTTTCTGTACATTTAAACAATAACAAGTAACATCACAATAAGGTTGTTTCACACAAGGAAGAAAAAAAAAAGAAGTAGTAGCGGCACTGCATTCGTTGTGCCCTTAAAGGTTTAAAAACCAGATGTAAAATGATTGGTTCGCAAGCTCGTATTTAATACAAATAATAAAGAACCAATGCCTCCGGCAAGGGCTGCTTCAAAATTGTCTCTTTTTTTTTTTTTAATTTTTAAAATCAGTCTTTAAAACTAAGCTTTTGGAACTACATAACAATTTATGTATATATATATATTTTTTAAACGCTACAAAGACTTTAAACAGCTGTTGATAAAAATTTTGGCAGAATCATGAGGCTTTTCTCATCTACATATTTAAAAAGGAGAAATTGAAATAAGAATGGGTCAAATATTGACCAATGAACTCGATAAAACATCAACTAATGTAGCCACGTGGCACGAATTAAAAACGAAACCGAGAAACGACGACGAACAGCGGACGACAAGGAGGAGGAGAAGGGGAAAAAAAAAATAAAGGAAAAAAAAAACCAAACAAACAAATCCCAACAGAATTCAATCCCCCCAAAGGAAACCAAAAGGGCTAACGAGGCTAAAGCTATTCTAAGGACTTGGTTACGAGGGAGAGCGGCTGGGGCTGTGTCCCTGCCAGTGAGCTGTGGGAATGCAAGGAGGACGTCGAGGGCTGTGCTAGGGATGCGGCGGCGGCCGGCGGGAGGGCGGCCGGCGGGTGGTCCAGGGCCCCGTTGGGGCAGCTGGCGGCAGGCAGGGCGCCGGGCTTGCTCGCAGCGCTCTCGGCGAGGACGAGCGAGGATGGCAGCGGCATCATGACCAGGTGCGCCAGCGGGTCGGGCTTCAATGAGAGCGAGAGGGGTTGCGTTTGTTCAGTCTGTGGTTTCGAGTCTCTGGAGGGGGAGGCGAGTATGGCGGGGGAGGACGGAGGAGAGTCTAGTAAGCTTCCATCTGAAGAGGGTGGGCTGACGCAGCTGCCTTCACCTTGTATGTAGCGAACGCACTTTTTTTTTCTCCTAGAAACAGGGAGAGAGTTATCTGTGAATAAAGGGCAGAGACGCTGATGGAGACAGTTATCTAAAGCAAAGAGCTGTCAGTTAGCTACTCTGGGCTCTGCACGGGCGGCACACCGGCCCCTCGCGCCATCCTGGGGGTCTGGCGGGGTGTCCTCGGCACCGAGCCCACTCGGGAACCTCCCCTCAGCTAACAGATTTTGAAAGGATTCACCAATTGTCTCTTCGTCCCCCTCATCTTCAGGCTGCCTCCTTTCCTTAGTTATTTTAATAATCAGGAAATCAGATAAGACATTTTTGGAGCCCACTGTGCTAATCTACAAACTCAACTTTCCTCCGGGAAAAAAAGAAATAAAATTAATCCTTATAAAATAAAAGCTCTGGATAGTTGATGGTATCTCAAGATGTCCCATAACGCTGTCCAACTCAACGGGGCTATCTCTACACCTGCGTCACCTGTCGTGTCTTACGATGCACTGCCCTTGGGAGGCAAGGACGGCTGCAAACTACTGCTCATTGCTTTCTCCTCTGTTAAGAACCACACCAAATCCAGAAACGTCAGAGTCAGACAGGAAGGATATATAATAGAGAGAACGAGAGAGGGGAAATAAAAACAAAACGAACAAACAAAGCAAACAGAAGAAAAACCAGGAAAAGAACAGGATAAACAGAGTATGATCCAAAATAACAAGAATAACTGGTTGTATGGCCTGCAGGTTGTGGCTTTAAATCGACTCAGTTTTACTTTTTGTTTTAAAGGAGAGTGGTAGATTTGGGAAGCTGCTCGTCTGCATTTTGGGGAATTTTCCTCTGAGAGGCCATCCATGTTAACTCCAGAGTGGGATCCAATTTCAGTAGGTGAAGAGCACGACAACAGGTACAAAGGTGAGGAACACAGGGACCTTATTTCACACCAGGGAATATGAAAGTCTTGCAAGAGCCGCTCATCTTCAAATAAATAAGTGACCCGACAGAGATCTTTTCTCCTCCCTCTGTCCACTTAATAATGTAAAGGAGCAATGAAAACAGATGACAGTTTCACACCATCTCTCTTGCCAAGTATATGCAAGACAATTCTAGCAGCAGGACAGAAATAATGAGGCAAACAACCACAGCATCTGGCAGAACGATGTTCAGCGGCCACCTTGAAACTAATAATGATGGCTCTCCAGCCCTCCTATTCACAAGCACACTTTCCATGGGAAGTGCTGAACCGCTGTTACACAGCCCGAGTTACAGGACAAAGTCTGTCTAGAGCAGCTCTGCCACAAAAACTTTGGACACTCAGCTAAGCTGCGCAATGCCACCAACATGAAGGAGTAGGTTGCTCTCCCCCTCCAGTGGATACCTCACCCTAGCTCAGCAACTTCATCAGAGGAAGTGCCCGAGCATGGCACAGCAGCTGAACATCGCTGGGTGACGTTCCCCACTCACATAGGTGCCCTAGCTCCATTGCTGGTCGTCCATGTTCTCCCCTATGTATGGCAACTGCGTTTGACTTGGGTTAAACCAAGGACTGCTGTCTAGGCAATGGGGCTAAATGTTTCTCGACTGCAAGGGAGATCTAACCAGCTTGATCCTGGAGTTAAAAGATACCATCTCCCATAGCCAGAAAGGGAGCAGCAACCCCGGCACCCCGTCTTTCCACCAGCTTCAGTGAGGGACCAGTGCTGTGACATCCCTTCCTCCACAGACTCAGGTTCTGCTCTCAGGTTCTGCTCCAGGTTCCACATGGCAAGGTAAGGGGTTAGGGCTATTAGAGTTTTAACCACAGATCAATACATGCTAAAAACTAAAGACAACCATGCAACTTAAATGTTAAAAAGAAAGAAAGAAAGAAAGAAAGAAAGAAAGAAAGATAGAAGACAGCAAGTGACGGCTGTAAACCATGCTTTATTAGAGCAACGTTAAAAGACAGAAAAAAATTAATTTGGTGGGCTCAAAACAGAACCTGTTAATTCTTCTACCATCAACAAACAACACGGGAAGCCTCTGGCTCTTGGCTAAGGACAGTTCTACTGCTCCTTCTCCCCTCCCCTCTCCTCTGCCTCAGCACTTCCTAGCTTCAGCTGTGCAATGCTACCAGGGCCACAGTTCATGTTTCCACCTTCTGTACAGCTCCAGTGGCAAAGCAGAACAGTGATGATTCACCAAGGTCACTGATAATACCTGTGTGGAAAGGTGGGTTTTCACAATTTGGAGACTGCAGGGCTCACCCCCCTCCTCAAATTAAAATAATTTGCAAGCAGAGACCCAAGCTCTGCCTGCCTCATTGATGGTTGTCCAGAAGCCATTCAACTGGATTGCTCTGAACCTACAAGGCAGTTAATTATTTCACTGGAGGCAGTTTGAATCTAGTATGCCAAAAATTCAAACTGATTTTTTTAATACTATTTAAGTTCTATGGCCTGAGAGGAAGAGTTCCAACGGCAGACTCCCAAAGCAGACTTAAACAAGGTCTACCTGACTTTCTGACTCTGCAGAGTTAACAACCTTTTTAAAACTAAACCCACTGGTCTGCTACCTGAAGTAATTTTCCTTTGACTAGGATTAAGGGAGCAGATTGCTGCTTCTGCTTCTGTTGTACATTAAACTCTTTAACAGTGTGGCCACTTTTAGTCTGAAAAGCCATTTACTTAAATCATGATGGCTCAAGGGGGGGACATTTCTCCAGCCTGTGCCATTCCCACCATGCGTTATCTGTGGTCATGTACGTGTCAGGGTTAGGTGGGACAGAATGCATAGATGGTAAAACCCCAAACCCTGCAAGCCAGAAGTTCACCCAGAAGTGAACACCACCAGGCAACTCCGGTGAAGGGGAATAAGTAAACATCCAAGGAACTCTTTGTGCCTCAGTTTTGCTCTCCTAAAAGTGAGAACAAAAATACTATATATCCCCCTCAGAAGCACTCGTGAGGAGTATTCACTTGTGCGGATTATTCACTTGTGCATCACTCTGAAAGCGTGAACTGTTACATCATTCTGGCAAACACCAACAGACCTGACCCAGCTCGTGTTGCCCTTGAAACTAGCCCCAGGACAGCATCGGGAAACCTGTGATGCTGCAATTGCCATGAGTGAAAGCCACAGGGGATGACAAGGGTTTATTCAGTTGCCGTGAGCGAAGATGTCTCAGTTTCTATTGTAGTAGCAAACTGCACATCTTTAGCACCTACCTAAGATGCGCTACAAAATGCTACCATGCTAGCAAATGCAGTGTTATAATCGTTAGGACCAGAACCAGGAGAGAAATGCTCTACTACCTAGTGATAAAATGCCTCCATGCATTAAAAAAAAACACAAACAAAAAACACCAAACAAAAAAAGCAGCTGACTCTATATCAGTAAGTCTAAAGCTATCAGCTACACCACCGAAGTCGTCTCTGATGTGCTGCTGCAAAGATTTCTGACCAAAATCTGGCATAAGTTAAGAGAGGGCTTATGCTTCACATGTAACCTAAGCACTGTACAGACAGAATGAAAAGTCCCCTTGCTCATAAAATGTAGTTTTAAAAGTATGCTCTTTACTTAAGCAGCTAGGGAAAGATAAAGCGACACAAACATGATGTGCCCCTGGTTCTGGTGCTTGGCATACAGAACCTGACATGCTTCAAATACTCTATCTCTAGACTACACAGGTATCTGCTGACAGTGTGTAGTGAACTAACCACAGAATAAAGCCTAATTAAACACAGCATTCGAGCCTTTGACAAGCGTGAGACTCGAGCCTCCTGACCCAGTGAAGTGGCTACCCAGCTCTTGTGGACTGACCTCTTCCTGCTTTAAGCAACTGCTGCTTTCAAAGCTTGTTTAATATACATACTGGTACTGGTATTTAAGACCCCAACACCCGGTACTAGCATGCCTCGAATGGGACAATATGCAATCTGTTGAAGACATTTCTGGTGCCTTAGCTGGTATTTTGACATACAACACCACCCTCAATCCGTGTTTTCCTCAACACTAAGCACAAACAAGACTGCGTGCATACACAAAATACGATGGACGTCTGATCTACATTCTAAATGAGATGGAGCACATGGGACTGGCATGAGTAAGAGGGGAAAATGTGGGAGAGGAATCACTACACACAGAGTGTGGTTTGGGTTGGAATACCTACCATCACAATATTCCAAATTCAAAGACTGCTTGTATCAGAACAAAGAAACAACAAATTTAACCAAATGCGATCATATAAGGAAAAAGGAATGAGAAAAGAACTACTCGGTATCCCTCCACCAAGAAAGAAGTACGTACTGAGTTATACATGGAATTAAACTCCAGTAGAACATGGGCTGTCGAAATTTGGGCTCTCTGATGTCTTTCATCTCCTTTTAATGCTGGAAACTGTCCTACTAAAGTTGTAATTAGTTTTGTCTAAAGCTCAGGTGTTTACAGCTCACTTGTTGGGATAAAATGGGAAAAAATGTATTTTTGGAATCAGAAAAAAAAAAAGACATCAGATCATTTAAAAAACTGATATCTACATAAACCTTACCGAGGCTTAGAAGCCTACAGGTAGCTATTTAATTTTGCAGATAACACCAAAAAAATGAGTACAATATAAGCTGTAAACACTGGCTTTTACATCTCTAATCATGAGAAAAACACTAGTGCTGCAGATCCCAGAACCTTTTTAAAAAGCCTTTGGAGGCAGCGGACATAGACCCAAATGAAAGACAAAATATAAATGTCCGGCTAAACATTCATTTTGCTGACAATCTGGAAAAAAATAATAAAAGAAGCCAAGAAACTGCCAGCTTTAAGGACTTGAAGTTTTCTTGTTCCCAGTTCTACCACCAGGGAGAGGTTATTGGTAAAGAAAGAGAGAAAATGGCATTAAATTAGCAGGAAATTCCAAAGATCAAAGATTATTAGCAATTGATGCTGTGGGAGAGAGAAAGGTGGGGAGTGGGGGAAAAAAGATTAAAAAAATAAAATCACACAAATGCACTAAGAGGACAGATTGCTTTTATTTCCCCAAAGGCCTAATGGGTAGTATTATACCTGCACGGTTTGCACCATAAACTCTGTCGGTCAAGCCCGAACAATGCCCGACACTTCTTTGGAGTATTTGCATCTGTTAGCATAAGGTAAACACAAAAAATACAACACAATGGTGGATAGAGCTCATTTGGACTGCGTCATCTTAGCTACAGCTACATTTAGCTTTCAATCACCTTAGTTTTATTTGGTAATCTCCCCTCATACCAAGGGCAGGAAAGAAAACAGGACTTTCACAGTAAGCCAAAAGAAAACCAAGAAAAATCTCCGACACGGCCATGCGTCTGTCCGGTGTCAGTACCGTGCTCAATGCCGTGTTATCAAGGGCTTTGGGAGTGACTTTCCTTGGGTGGAGGCTTGGAGGGCAGAAGCGTGGTTGAGCCACGGATCAGATGGGCTTAAAGGCTGATGCTGTTTTACAGTGGGTTTTTGGCTAGTAGGTGCAAAGAGGAAGGCAAAAAAAAGACCAACAACGAAAAAAAAAAGCAAAACCCTTTCAGAGAGATGATAACTCATGGCAGTATCCCACTCCCTTGTGTCTTCTAGATCACAACACAGAGCTACAAAGCAACAAGGCAGGAAAAAAAAGGGGAAAGTACCAAATAAACCAGCTGCAAATCAGCCATAGCGAGTCTGGGAAAACTATACACACCTGCAGGGGCCGCACCAGTTATTCTGTTGATCAAGGCCAAAGCGCGCTCGGCATTTCTTAGGAGCGCTCAGGTCTGAATGAGTTCAAGAAAAGCGAGCAGAAAAGGGAGAGAGGAAAAAAAGAAAAGGGGAGAGGGGGGGAGAGAGAGAGAGGAAGAGAGAAAAGGGGAGAAAAAAGAGAAAGATAAAAATAAGGAAAAAATAAAAATAAAAAAGGGAATAAAAATCAATGTCCTTGTTATTAATTGCAAAATATTGACTTTTGATTTAAAAGTTAAAAAAAAGTGATAATCACATTTTTATTCAACTCTTGAGATTAGCTGTTGCAATTAAAGCTGCAGTATCCCTTCAGAAAGGACTGTTTCTTTCCCTTTTAAAAGAGCAGGTAGAGGAATGTGATTGTGGCTGGTCTGGCAGGATGTTTCAGGCAAGCTTCATTTGGGCTGGGTTTTTTTATTCTCTTTTTTGAGAAGGGGGGAAAAAAAGGAAGAAAAGAAGCTGAGTATGGAAGTTAGATCCTGAACATGCTTTTTTCTTCAACTCAGATACAAAATAAAAATAAGAGGAAAAAAAAAAAAGGAAATTGTATCTCCTGGGATAATGCAGCTTTTGGAATAACATTCAATTTATTTGTTTTTATTAACTTGTATTTAAAAGAATGGATAAGAATAAGCAGATTGCGGAATGAGTATATTAGTATCAGCCAGAAAATAAAACATAAAGCATGGCAAGGTGCTGAGTTAGTACAGCTAGTGAATTGCAATGAATAGGCTTGAGCAGAAAGGAAAAAAAAAAATCCAAAACTAAAATAATAATAAAAAAATGCAAATGCATGCTAATGTGAGAAGACTTAGTGGGAGCCATGAAAAATGCCATTAGATTAAGGAGGTTCATTACTGACTTGCTTCCATTCTTTATCAGTCTCTTTAAAGAAATACTGCATATTCAATTTGCACAGTTAGTACAACTCTTGCGTTATTTTTACCGTATTACTGTTTTAATAGCAATTGTTACAAAAACGAAAAACAAAATTAAAAAATACTGTCAAACATATAATAAATATAAAGATATATAGATAATAAATACTATCAAAACGTGTGGATGGTATTTTTTTCTTAATGTCATAAGTGTTTAATGTTAAAATCTATAATGGCAGGAAAAAAAATTAAAAAGCAGTTTATAAACTATTTTAAATGACTCAAAATGACGTTAGCACCTGTAATCGGAGGAAGTGAAAGGCAAGGATTTAGGAAACATTCGCTGTGTTCTGAAAAAAAAGAACAAATTATACAAAGGCTTCAAAAAAACTAAGTCAGGGCTTCTTCAAAATTGACTATGAGATTGCCTATGCAGTATTTCTAATTTCCTATATAGAATGGCAAACCTCCTTAATTTAAAATGGGTGCGATTTACCACTGTAAGGCATGCATCAGAACATACAGGTACAGCCCAAATTAATACCAAACACATACATACGTACGTACACGCACACACATATGCGTCAAATAAGCAGACAACTATATAAACGATGGCATAGGCATTACAACTACGGCTCTGCAGTTAAAGGCTTTGCAATTACTACGTACAAATTCAACTAACGTCACAAGAGGCTCTTACATGCAATGGCTTGGTTACTAGTTTTAGAAGGGCAATAACGTGTAAATTAATTAGAGTGCATTAAAAAAAAAAAGGCTGCCTAGTATAGGGACCGGCTCCCCGTGAGGCCAGGAGACTCGTACCCACCTCCCCCGTACCTAGGAGCGTCACAGCAGGATTGCCACACTTCCACTAAGCAAGAGATTTAGACTTCTTTTTACTTACCATTGGTCTCTCCTGGCTGCTTATCCCTTTTCCTCTTCTTCTTCTTTCCCTGCAGGAAACATACACAAACAAGAAGGATTAAAAAAAAAACCCCAAAACATGTCTCCTTGCAAGACAGCACTGAGCGATGGGGCTGCGGCTGGTGGGGGAAGCTCCCCAGGGAGGACACCAAAGTACAGTGCCGGCTCGATCCCGGTGCAGGGGGCCCCAAGGGGATGCTTGCACCCCAGGGATGGCTCTGCCTGCCCGCCCCATGCCTTTTCAGACAGCCTCGCTGCAGCCCCCCCCCCCCCCCC